TGTCCCATCCATGTCAAATCCTGCTATCTAGTAAGGAAACCCCCCCCCGCCATTTTAGTTTATTGTATATACACAAAAAAAATATTTCAACCCCCCCTTGAAGTGACTTTTTAMTTGTCTTTACCTTATGTCTTCCTTCCCCCCCCTTTCTCGTGTACACCAACAACTCATCTGGTATTTCTTCCCATCCCCCCCAAGTACTTGGTGTCCCYACGGAATTATCCTCATCAACTTTTGAATCAGTTTGGAAATCATTTTTACTTTCAYCTGCTATTGAACTTTCAGGCCCCCCCTCTGCTATTGAGTCATTTTTCCCACTTTTRCTTTTATCATTCCCCCCCCAATTGTTTGATTGAGAATGGAAATAATYATCAATACAATTGACCCCCCCTTTTTTGGGACTGACAACAGGATCTTCATCACTGTCTTCAATCCCCCCCTTCCTGYTTTTCAGAGGAGACACAGTCTTGGAATCAGAAGAAATGTCTGTAGAGTGATCTTTGATGCTAATACTTTCKRTGGRTGATTTTTCCCCCCCCTGGATTTTGAAATAAATAAAGTGTGGGTAGTCATCRTGAAGCCCCCCCATTCGTCCTCCAGGGCCCAAAGTGGAAGTWTGTCCTTTTTTCCCCCCCCGYCCAGCRATAGTACTAGGATTCYTGCCAAGCTTTTAAAACACCCCCCCCATTTTTTATATAGTATTGCACAAGCAGAGACAAGCAATGTACCCCCCCATGTTATGACTATAGATGAAAATTTGTGTAAGTCATCTACAAAATGAACAATAATTCAGTGGAATTACATGTATGAAGCTAAAACAATCCATCAAGGTTTGTCCTTCCAACAGGCACAAGCACTTTCAAGCATTGATCAACCCCCCCCAGCAATCTAGCATAAAAATTCAGTGCCATTCACAGTTTAAACCCCCCCGTCCAGATTCAGTGACCACAAAAAAAAAAAAAAATGCAAAAACCCCCCCGACATCAAGGTCCAATGAATACCTGCTTAACTTTGACCTCTTCCCCCCCATAATCAGCTGTCAGCTCACCTGAAAAATAATGAAGATAACTGTTAAAACACATTYAAATCGAGAAGGGTTCAAATCTTATATAAACTTAACCCCCCCCAGGCAATTTAGTTTAAGTCTTATTAAAATTCTTACCTTGTTCCCCCCCACATTTTCGACTTTTAATCTTAAGTTCTGGCATTCGGCCAACTGCCACAGCAACCCCATCTGGCAAGGCTATTGGTTCATGAGTTTGATCGCAGCAATGCAAAAAGCACTCCATCAAAAAGACTGCGACCAACTACAAAACCCCCCCCCCATCCATATTCATCCATATTGGACGTTAGCAAATACAACGCCCCCCCACCGAATCTCGTCCTAGTCTCCACTCCGATGTCAAATTTTAACCCCCCCGGCCGAGAGGAGCACGTTTTTTTCGATATTTTATCTGTGTCATTTGGCTCTTTTACTGCGTATAATGCTAATWTTTTATGGTGAATGGCAACCCCCCCACATGTTGGTCAAGTACACGGACATTGATTATCATGTATTTACAGATGCAGCGACATATGTTCACAATGGCGGCTCTCCCTACGAGCGTGAAACATACCGGTACACTCCGCTGTTGGCTGTGATTCTAACACCAAATATCTATCTTCACGCCGCGTTTGGGAAAGTTTTGTTCATTTTATTTGATGTGCTCACAGGGTATTTGCTATACAGAATACAAATTGAGAGAGGTTTCGAGCAAACGACAGCTGTTTACAGCGCATGTTTATGGCTGTTTAATCCAGTCGCTGCTGTTGTTTCATCACGAGGAAACGCAGAGTCTATTATGGCATTTCTTGTGCTTGCTACCTTGTACGCTGCTTTAAAAAACAAGCCGTTATTGGCAGCTTTATTGCTCGCTTTAGCTGTACATTTTAAAATCTTTCCTATCATGTATAGTTTGCCTTTGTTTCTGTTTATTGACAAGACACGTGATACAAAATTTATTCGTGGCAATGCTAAGGAATGCGTAATGAGATTGACTGAATATATACTTAGTCCTTCAAGAATTAAACTAGTATTTGGATTCATTATAACTATTGCACCCCCCCCATTGGTGTTATATCGCAGGTAATGTGCCATAATATTTCATTCATACTTTTAGTGTGTTGGTGCCCTAGCTATTTACATATACCAATGTACAGTGTTGAAACATAGTACATGGGACTAGAGATTAGTATAATTTTAAGATTGGAGATCAGCTATGAGAAAAAATAGGCTGAATTACACAATTTTAGGGAAACAGGGCTCAAATTTGAAAAGGAAAGTTTGGACAGGGGACCAAAATGTTGGCCACAAAAATGGGATGGAAAGTAAACAAATAAAAATACGCCATGGCAGAACCCTGAATTTTATTTTTTTTCATAGATTAAAATTTGATAATTTAATTCTTAAATTTTGTTACTTTCTCTGTTTTTCAGCTATGGCTTTGAGTTCTTAGAGCACACTTATCTCTATCATGTGACTAGAACTGATCCTAAGCACAACTTCTCTGCATATTTTTACATGTTATATTTAACACAAGATTCAGCCTGGTCTAAACTCATTGGTCTGCTATCCTTTATACCTCAACTTACGTTGACAGTTGGTTTTGCCTTTAGACATTACAAAGACGTTTGCTTTTGCTGCTTCATTCAGACGTTTGCATTTGTCACATTTAACAAAGTATGTACGTCTCAGGTCCCCCCCTGTGCCATCACTACTTGATCTTGTGTTGGGTTTCCTGTGTAGTAGTCACAGGAAGCCTAAAACTATAAGAAAGGTAATTTACAACAGCAAATTACCCACAGATCAATTCACCAATCGCCTCTTAACGTAGATTAATCAACAAACAATGAGCAGTTTTTCCAGTGGAATTGAAACTGTCCACGCAACAAACACAAAATCGAATATTTTTACTAAATTCATGAGCTTTTCTTTATGAAAATGTAAAAAACATATAACACAAGGCAAGTTCCTACATATCGCAGCAATCACCCCCCCTTCCATGCTCTATTTCAAAGGAATATTTCACTTGTCTGACATCCCCCCCACTAACTAAGGAGGTAGGACAATGATTTGGGATCGGTCAATTCACAATGTATATGAGCTGTCTTGTGCATACTGAGTTGCATTTACATTTCCCCCCCCTTTCTTAATGATAGCTTTTTTTATTACTAATAAACAGCTACATTAACGATTACATACAAAAGAGATTACAAAACATTGCATGTAAACTACACCCCCCCACAGTGTGCTGAATAACGAAAATTACAAATATCATTTTCTTTCCCCCCCTCCTCCACCCCCTAGTTTATAGGCATACAACTTTGTTTGCATATTAGAATATAATATCCTGTAGTTTAATACTGCAACTAATGATAGCTGTATATAGTAGGGCTTGTAATCTTTCAGGAATAGATAACTTTCTATATTATAACTAGTGTCTCTCAGGAAACCTGAAAAATCTATGAGGAAATACTTGTCCATACAAATTGTAGCCATATTATTTGATCCACAGTATTTCTTATGGTACCCCCCCCTTCTTCCACTTGTTGTYCCACAAATAGCAATTTCCTTAATGAAAGCTATTCTGATGATAGTTGCTTGGTTTGCTTCCCAGGTAGGTTYTGACCCCCCCAACCAAATTAATTTACACTCGGTTGCATGGTAGTAAYGAGGTCCCCCCCWTCAARGATCWACGTGTTTGGGCTCAGGGATCATATTTATTTCCCCCCCTTTTTTAGTGAATTTTAGATTTGGAATCAGGATTAATGTATACCCCCCCTGTTTCACAGTTATTTTCATGATTTAACATAATTTGGCCTTGCCCCCCCTTTTTCTCTAGGCTAACCTGTGACAGACAGACAGAACTCTAACCCCCCCCACCCCCTGTAATAAATCATGCTAATCATAGTTAAAATATTACCTATGTGCTAATTCATTTGTTCCCCGTATTGAAAGTAAAAACGTAGCTCCCCCCCAATTGCAATAATATACTTTATTATTTGTTACCCTGGTTCCAGCCCCCCCTCTTTTATTCTTTTGCTCACTATGCTAACGAGCCGCGAAGCGGCGAAACGTTTCCGTTAATCGTATTGTTTCCAGGCTTGGCGTAAAAACCCCCCCCCGGAACCCAGGGGTAATCTTCTGTCGTTCGTTCCTATGACAGACCCCCCCCCCTGGGTTCCCGAGGATGCATAAAAACAAACCGATTAACGGCCCCCCCTCACTGCTTCGGCTTGATAAAATAGTAAAAAAAAAGAAAGTAAAAAACAGAAAAGCCTCTGGAACCAGGGTATTAATTTGTTTCACAGATCCCCCCCAATCACTCTGCTCTGTTCTCTCTAGAACTTCTTCTAGTATTTATATTAATGCTAAGGTTAAACCTTTGTTGCTCTACAGGCAGTGTGGCTTTACTTTGCGTATTACCTGGAGTTTGAAGGCCTCAATACCTTTCTAAACATATGGATTTCAAGTCTGGTGTTCCTATTTGTTAACTTGTGGATTTTGGTTGAAGTTCTGAAGAATTATATTGGCATGAAATCTTTGAAAATCAAAGCTTCGTAAAGCAAACATAAAACGCTGGGAAAGGAATAGTGATGCGCTTAATGCACGAGAAAACGATCGAATTCATATCACAGTGTAAAAACGGCAGTCTTATGTTTTTCAAATTAAATTCTGTATTGCGGAAATTACTGAAGGTGATTGCTATAACCCATCCAAACGAAAGTTTTCGACCATCATTTTCGTCAATTCTTTACAATGCGTCATAAAACATACAGATTAATCTAAAATTTTATCAACTCTCTATAGAACGTTAGCCGTAAAAAATTGTTCATACTAAACTATGTCTATACCCCCCCCCAATTTACTCTGGACCCACAGCTCTGCGTTCTCTCATCTGTGAGAAATTAATGGTGAGAGCTAACTGGAAAACGATTGTTTATTTAACAGAGCGGATTTTGTTTGACTGTGCAAAGTCACGGATTATTTTTACTGTAATTTTTTCCCTATCAGAGTTGTTATTGTGTAACCAACAGCGATAGCATTGACCCCCCCCCATGAATCAACGCGGAACCTATAACTTGTAAAAACTTGACACCCCCCCTAAGAAGCGGACATTCATGACAACAGATCAACTCACAGTCATTTGATTTTGGCTTCACGAGTGATTCAAAGTGTTTGGTCTTGTTATTTCAACCTTGAATCGAAAAAGGCAACGAAAAAACGCGACTGCAAAATGAAGATCCCCCCCTTKATGATAGYTTTGAGCTGCTTGTTCTCTTTGGCCTTTCCGCCCCCCCGTATTRAARCTATTTGTTCACAATTTCTTCTGTTCATCCTTACGTCTCTTATAAAAAGATATACTAAATTTACCTGTCGAGAAAACTATCGTTAAACTTTTGATGTGTCATTTTCGTTGGCCAAGAAACTACCGCAAACGATGACGCTAAACTTGAACAGCAATAAAATTGCGTGCAATTAGGTGTATATCGAAATTCCTACTCAATTATATATAATTTTAAACGATGTATTAGTGATCCCCCCCTATGGTTWATATTTTKTGTTTTAAGACGTCCTTGGACGATCCATATGCAAGCGTCTGAAAGGCATGTGCAAGAGTCGTTTTAACTCTATCACCCCCCCGCTGTGYAAAGTCACATGTGGTAAGAATATCGTCATTGTGATTTCTACCCATTGAACAATATCATTTCTTGGTGCCTTAATATTTTTAAAAATCGCACCAAACAATCGAGCAGCAATCGCCATAACTTTTTAGCGTGTTCCCCCCCCTACCCTAAGTCCCCGCACCCACCCACCTATACATGATATGATCCCCCCCCCGGGTGACAAACCCTCACATCGAACAATGCTCAGCGCTGCTGCTCCCAGAATCCACGCGCATGTATGTCTAGTCTTGCATGTTGTTGGGCTTTGTTTTGTTTGTCCCTGTAGTGAGTTCTTCACGGCACGACTTGGAGCTCTTTTGAGTCGTATACTACAAGTCGTRGGTCAAAATCGTGTCGTGTAACCCCCCCTTACTGATAATTCAGCTTATGATCACGTAGTTCGTTGTGGCGCTGAATGATGAAGACTCCTTATCTGCATACCATCATCGCGAGGTCTATTGCATTGATATATTGTGTACACTGAGTTTTTGTCATTGTGGCTATTGTCTCCCCCCCTTTCAAAAATGACCTTCCTCGAAAGCCAGTAGTATCAACTCCCCCCCCCTTTCCTGATGCTTTTTTTTAGCGCTTCTTGTCCCCGGAGGAGCCCCCCCAACTTTGCGGGTTGAGGATTAGGATGCTTCTTATTTAGCTGAGTCATAAAACTTATAGGTTCGATTCAACGCATCGGCACCGCTGTTTGTCGTTTAATTCAGGAACCTCATGTCTCAGTGAATTTATTTGGCCGTCTTGCCCCCCCCTGGCAAAACTCTTGGATTTATGAGGCGGATTAGATGATTTCTAACTTTTAAAAAAGTTTCCAATTGTACTTTGAATGATTCTACCTTACTAGTAGCTTCACGTAGTATCTTTTCGTTTTCACCATCCTTCCACAAATCAAGTTGTTTTTTGCCTTGTATATTTTGGGCCTGGTTTCTGGAGACCTTGTACAATCAGTACAACGCTTTGAGAGATATGTGCTGACTTTCACTTCCAGTCCCCCCCCACATGCGATGTTATCTCGTCAATAAAGCCCCTTCCTATCTTACCATACAAAACAAGAAAAACATGTTTTTTCCAAGCTGCGATCTCGTCATCCCCCCCGGCATATGTTATGATTTTGGTCGATAAAACAATGTCGCCACCATCGCTTTGTTTGCCTCACTTGATATTTGTGTGCTCATTTACGTCTTTGCCCCCCCTGGAAGGSTCTGGAAGGCATCCAGGCACTCTTTTGGTCTTTCATTGTGTAGCAAATGCTCGGTTTGGTTTTTGAAGATATTTGTTGTATGCAATTCTTGGTTTGTTTTAAATGGCAAATTAGAATGCTGTACTTAAATCAAAGCTTCGTAAGAGATATTTTGCATTGTTTTGTCGATATCTCCATACAGACGATTAGTAAGATAAGAAGGAGCATTTTCATATCAAACCTTAAAAGAAGTGATTGATCGAAAGTATAGGGGCGGATTCAGGGGAGGGGAAAATGGGGCCCCCCCCCCTTTTTTTCTCACTTAAAGTCTGGTGCTCTATATTGCTTACCCCCCCGTTAAAAGAATTTTTCTCTTTCTAATTTCTTCAAAGACGGTACCCCCCCATTCAAAATAAAAGCGTACATAATTTTTATTGCTTCTTTTTTCCCCCCCACGTCACAATATTAGGAATCTCGATTCTAAAAAGTTAACGCTCAGAAAAATATTGTTAGTGTTTTTAAGATCCACTCCAGTGCTGGAAAATCCCCCCCATTGAACACGCTACTCAACAGGTAACGAATGCAGGCTACAAACCCCCCCAGTAATATGAATATGGACAATATGCACATTTCTTAGTTCCTTCCCCCCCCCCTTCCTAAGAAATGAATGCTCCCTCATCAGCGATCTTATTCCCCCCCATTTATAGGGTGTAACGACTTTTTATCTATGGAATCATGTAAGGCGCTAAAAAGATCAAAAGATTGTACCAAATACTTTGAAGTTGGGCTCCGTTATTGCAAGTGGACATGTGGACTTTGTTGTGAGTAAAGTTTTTTTCCCCCCCCTCAGCTCCTTTAACGTTTACCACTATATTTATTGGTACGTCAGTTATTCGTTGCCGGTAATACCCAACAAGGAGACTTTTGTTAGACTAAGCCCCCCCTAGATTTTTATAACAAATTTAATTGATAAAAATTGAAATATGCCCCCCCATCATGCACTACCTGTAGTTTTAAATTACCTGGAAAAATAGTCCCCCCCTACCAGTAGCTTTTAATGTCCAGCAATTTTTATGCTTTAGGGCCCCCCCCAATATCGAATTTACAGAATTATTAGGAAATGGTTGAAGTATCCCCCCCATTGTATAATAGTAATAGTAGTTAGTTCGTCCAGAGCGTCAACCCCCCCTAATAAAGCAGAAAACAGAACAGAAACTAAGAGGAACGTTATCCCCCCCATCATTACATTGACTATTAAGAGTACTTATTTCATTATTTAACCCCCCCGGGAAAACTGTATGTAAGTCAGCACGTGCACTTGGGATGCAGCCCCCCCCCATTCCTGACTCGAGTATCACCGCATCATCGTATTTTAGCTCCCCCCCTGCCCCAAAACAAGGAAGGCGTGGTGGGAATAGATCATGGTGCCCCCCCGTAAGACTAGCCGGAGCATGGCTCCAAGTTGATTTGGGCAAGCCCCCCCTAGTTCAAGGTGTCGCAACCCAAGGTCGACACGACGGCTATACCCCCCCGGTGACAAGCTACACYCTKCAATACAGCAACAATGGCAAAACCCCCCCCAAATACCAGGGAGRCAAAGTGTTCAAGGGAAACAGTGACAGACCCCCCCTTGTCAAGCATAATCTAAWTCCCCCGATTTATGCCAGGTACACCCCCCCAGTAGTCAAGACATACTATACTTGGGCGTCAATGAGGATAGAGCTGTATGGGTGCAAATATTAGTAAAGGTAAACACAACAATTGATGAAATATAATGGTACTTTCCATTTATCAGAACTGCGTTAGTCAGACCAAAAGAGAATTTCATTATTATATTCAATAGGAAAATCAATTTCTAAATTTAATCCATTTTTTTTAAATATTATAGAACATATAGAATATGACATGATAATCTCGCCCCCCCGCATTATTTACTTCTAAATAGCTAGAACGACCGAAACGACCTGGGACGCCCTAACACTCATGTTGACATCGGCCATCATTTTTGCCTTTCGTTCATTTTTCATATCAAAAAATAATAAAGAGTAATTTCAAGAATTTTTCATTGTTTTGTATTTCAGCTCACCATTTATGCAGTCAGTCCTGATGGAGACCCCCCCCGTAAATAAGTGGATAACAATAAAACATGTGATACAGATAAGGAAATGCCAATTATAAAGGCTTTGAATAAATTAAATGAAGATTAAGCAACCCCCCCTGATTAAAACGTTTGAAGCACAACATCCATACCAGTAGTGCTCCCCCCCTCCTTCATAAACAACTAATTGAAAGAACGTTGTCGGGTTGCACCCCCCCCATCAAGATAGCTAAGACCGAAAAGGAGCATGGGAAAGCAAACCCCCCCCAGAGTCAAAAGATTGCTATGCACTGTAGAAAATGACTACATCCCCCCCGAGAAGTGCCTACCATCGATTTAATACAAAGGAAAATATTATGTAAAACATTCAGTACTCTCATATGAAAGAACTATCAGAAATAGGTATACCCCCCCGGGAAATTTTGTTATGGACTAAATACTAATAGCTATTTGGTACCCCCCCCGCGCGCTTTTAGTGTTTACACTCAGCTACTCTCAATTTTTACCCCCCCACAATCGGTCATATAAATGCGACATTGATGTGATAAAAATAGCCCCCCCAATAASACTTTTTGAKCAAATCGGCTCCTCCTTGTTKTTTGCCCCCCCCTTCGAGAATRGRCAATTTCGCATTTTGCCTTAATAAKTATGACCCCCCCAGTTGTTTYAGTTATATTATTTCGTCTGATCCATTATACCTTCCATTGAGAGGGGTGGGATAGTTCCCTCAGTGATTCAAGARCTCYCTTGCCCCCCCATRCTATTRTCAAACCGTTGACTGCTGCCATGCACCTACCATTCATTGCTGTCCAATCGTACATCTTTTTATTCGTTTGCTCTTCAAAATACCCCCCCTTTTATCCCATCCATCCAGTCATTCAATCATTCTCTCTCAGGATTTCATTGAAATACCTTCGTATAAAAAAGTGATTTACTTTCTTTGAAACCCCCCCATGATACCTTGTGTTACCTATAGTGACAACGTGAGTGCATGCTTATAACTTGCAAATCTTCAACCTTCAATCAAAAAGGCAGCGAAAAAGACCCCCCCGAAARAATGAAGCTCCTGATTTTATTGTTAGCTTTGAGCTGCTTGTTCTCTTTGGCCTTGCCGTCGAAAGGTATCAATAAGTGTTCTTATWCCCCCCCTTTTAATGAAATACCAGGAAGTATCTCTCAGCGCGAAAAATRCCCCCCCTTCATATGTGAAAATGACGCGTTACCATTAATTCTCCGTACAAAATTGTCCTATTTCTTGCCTTATAGATATGAATTTAATTTTATATAATCCCCCCCACATTAGATGAGCGCTTGAAGATATATATTTTTTCTTGTTCCCCCCCCCATCTTGCAGTGGAGCACTGGAATAGCTAAAATCCGTATTTCCCCCCCCCCATGTAGCATCCTCTATGTGACTTTGTGTCAGTTGATTTTGCCCCCCCCTATATCTGCTATGTTCAGTGTTGCCCTAAATTGAAATGTTGTCCCCCCCCGATCCAATGGTAATTAATTACGACATCTTGGTAACAAAGGTTGCTATATAGTGTACCATACATTCTTTACCAAATATAGTTCGTCTTTATCTTGCGTACGTTTCATCTGCTCTCAAACCTGTTTATGTTTCGCCGTTAGACGTCGGATTACTAACATCTTTGGTGGATATTAACTCATATCTATATCCAAATAAGTCATGGAAAACATTGGGACACGACAAAATTTTGAATTTGTTGCCCCCCCTCGTCGTTATCGCGCGAGGGAGAGTGACATTTTCTACAAAGGCCCCCCCCATGTTTATCATGTCTTTAAATCAACACTACTTGGCTTTTCGCCCCCCCGCAGTTCATTTGAATAAATGCTTATAATGCCTTTTATGATTACCCCCCCATAGTCAAAATTATATAACCTGAAAAAACATTAATCTCGCCTCCCCCCCGTGGAAACTCATATCCAAATAGGAGGCCTCAAACCCAAAGTGCCCCCCCTCTCCTGAGCTGCCCGCAAGCTTACAAACGACGAGGGTTTCCCCCCCCCTTGGCAATGTGACTACGTACATACGTCGTTAGATTCGCGATGCCCCCCCTGCACTTGCACTTCTGATTGATAGAGCAAGATTCMTCCTGGGTATTGTTATTCTATTCATGTGCATTATAATAAGGTATGGGGTATCTGCCCCCCCCCTCCCCTCCCCCACTCCCCTTCAATATAAACATTGAAAACAATCCCCCCCTTTTTGTGCTACTAATTTATACCCCTCTTTAACGTTGAGTTTCCCCCCCGATAATGTAGGCCGCCCGCCCCTTACCCACAGGGAACTCAGTCCCCCCCTGTTTTAATCATATTAAAGCTATTATTTCAAACTGCTCGAATGCAAGGGTAATTGATAAATTCTGATTTTTAAAGCGATTTTTGGCCTTAGCCCCCCCGAAATTATGAAGTTATAAAATCACCTTGAGGTTTGTGATTGACCCCCCCTCCCCCCCCCCCCCCGTTGATTAAAACATGGACGTTACCCCCCCCCCCCTTTCAAGTCATAAGTTAGAATGCCCTCTCCTGGATGCTCCTACCCCCCCTTGATAATTATTAGCAGTATGATC